CTGCTCGCGCGCCCCCCATGAGGTGAACGTGGAAGTCACAAGCAATTATCCCCAAACGCATAACGCCTCGCAAGAACTGACTCAGTACTGTGGCCGATGCGAACAATGCGATTTGATTGAGCGAGGATGGCACTAATTTGTGTATTCATATTTGGCAGCTTTTCCGGGGGTGCAATACATTTTTGCTGTGACGACTGCCCATGAAATATTTTCCGAATTGCCAAGTAAGTGATGGATAATGAATACTAATGCATCAAGACTCCGTGGCTAATGAGAGCTGATTAGTCAGTTTGCTAACAAAATCCCGCGAGGGGTACACGCCCGCGCGTGCAGTCGCTGCTCGCACGTGTCGGCAACACGGCAGGACAGGCCCAAACCTGTCTCTCCTCCGCGCATCCGCGGCCCCACGTACACCTTGAAGTTTTCTTACTTGGGATGCATCGGTTGAAACACGCGTGCCATTTACGCTCCCCTTAAGTTTTGAATGTGGCGTGTGTATTTGCATTCGGTATTTTATCATCAAATACTGCTTTCGCCGCAGGTGCTTTCATCACTGATGGATAAAGGCTCGGGAAATAATGAAATATTTTCACAAAGCCCAAACCCAAGCAAAAACTGTTTGCACACAACCTTTTTAGGGCCCGTTTCACTGAAATTTCCCCACTGAATCAAAGTGCCAAATCACCCTGGTCTGTGACTAAGTCGACGTGTGCGCCCACTCTTTTTTGGAAATTAAATTTTCGTAAAAAAATTATGACTAATTTATAGAGTTGTTCGCAGATGACCGTGATGAATATCAGTCTGGGGTTTTTTGGTGGGCCCTTTCCTTGTTGCTTTGAACAAACACATCTGTTGGCCGAGCCTGCATTCGCTTCAGAGCGAAGTGTCTTTGCCACACCGCTCGTAAGAATGTTGGCGTGGTAACGCCTTAACAGGGGTGGTGGCAGCAGCGGTGGTGGCAGTGGTGGCAGCGTCGGCGGCGGCAGTAGCCGCGGCACTTCTATCGTGTGGCCGATGTAGATGCAGAGCAACAGCTTTACAATTTCGCGTTCAGGTGGTCAAGCCAGATAACCGCGTCAGGAGCAGCGGAGTGTATCGCTGTGACGTCTCCTTCGCATTTGTGGATCGGGCAGTGCGTCTTTATACAGTGTACGGTCTTGTTCTTGATGACCGCAGTCGCACACCCCAGGAGAGTTTTTACTTTTCCATTTGTGCATCAGGTATCAGCATCTGCCATGGTTTGTGCGGATGGACCGCGAGCTTCCGTGGAAGATTATACCCAGGAATGGTCTGCGTTGGGTCTTTCGCACGGCGTTTGTTTGTGAGTTCTTTTGAACTCGATTCAGCTCGTTGGCGACACTAGCTCCCATTAACCTTTTTTTGTTGTTGCGCGCAGCGGTAGGCGGGCATGCACGGCAGCGGCGAACAGCGGTGAGAACGGCGATGAGAACAGATGTGTCTCGTGCGCGTGTGCGGGCTTGCTAGGCGCGCACTCGTGTGAGATGATGGTCCTCCGCACAATGGGAGCCTCTGTGGCGCAGGTGTTTCTGAGCGCAATCCAGAGCAGATGGTTCCTCCGGACAAAAACATGTTTGCCCGCGGCTGTCGATAATCACTGCATGATTAAATTGCCGTGCCCACTTCGCCCATGTAATCAACCTTTGTGTCCCCCTCCCTCTTTGAACGAGAAGATGTAGGTGTGTAGAGTACTTTTAATTCCTAGCGTAGTACATATCAACTTACGCGTACTGTACGTGGTTTTGCTTAATACGTGTGTGCGAGATGGTTTTTTTGTGTTGTTGTTGATCTGAGAACTAATTGGCGTGCTTTGCAGCCGCACAAGGTCACTGCATGGGTTGTGTGGTGTTGGCCGTGGTGGTGGTTGTTGTTGTGTTTTTCAGCACGAGCTTGAAATCATTACGTGCCTCGTGATGATTGCGTTCGGGGCTTAGATCCTGGCACCGTTGGTGGTATGGCACACCGGTGGATTTGTATTATCCTGATTGAAAATTGTATTACTTTTTAAAGAAATAATCAAATGGATGTGCAATATTAATGAAGCATCGAGGACAATGTCTTTTAAATTTCTGCCTTTGGATCTTTACTGCAGTTTATGGATCATGGCTGCAGACGATGATATCCCGTGGCAGCGGAAATGTATGTTTATAAAATTATTTTTAGTTTTTATTGCAGTTATGATAACTTTCCCACGTGGATTACCCTGGTCTAATTGCAGCACCTTCCGTGTGCGGTTACTGGTGACCTGGTAATAATGTACCGATGAAAGTAAATAATTATGCTTGTGATATGTTGATTACAGCGTCTATGGGAAAATTATGTACGAAGTATGCAAATTATATGCAAATAATAACGTTACGTTGATACAAACAAAGACAAAAATGGTACAGATTAAGATGGGAAACAGATAAACGGTACAAACGAGATGGCAACAAAAATAATAGAATCACTGTGGCAGAAGGGAGTGAGGAGGTGGAATCGTTAGTCTGGCCGAAACTATTCCATTCGCTGGACACGAGATCCAGCCGAACGTACCTCGTGAGGTCAACTGGACCCTATCCCTGGATCTCAGTGCTGCTCTATCACGTGCGCCGTTAAGCCCCTTATGAATGAGCGAGCTGGCGAAGGAGCGTATGAGTGAGTGGGCGAGGTGAGCGATGGAGCCACTGACTGAGTGACCGAGCGGGCGAGAGTCGTCATTACTCCCCGGGTGCCGTCGAGTACGCTAGTGATGGCAGCCTTCCACCGCCAGACAGGAAGGTGCAGCAGATGCCGCACTTGGAATGTGACCACCCAGTTTAACCTTCGCACTTTTATTGACGATTAAAATGAGCGTTGGGAAGGTTTCGACTGTGGTTGACAAATATCGTCTATCCCGCCTTACACGTGTAGTTTTGGCATTCCCAAGATTAAAAAAAATGTTTGCAAGCTTTTAATCAAATGAGTCATCTGGGAATTTACGGGGAAGAAACGGAGTTTCAAAGAAACAAACATTTACATCGTTAGATTTCCTACTTTGAATGCAAATGTATTATTTATAGTTAAACGTGTAATGTAGTTTTAGAAAGAACCAACATACCCTGTACTTTGGATTGTATTCTCTCATTCAATAGCCGTAGAATCTCTTGTTTTGCAAAACTGCAGGGTAGACTAAAGAATATGTGGAGGGGGATTTCTCAAGTTTTGCATTACAAAGGAATGTTACTGTAGATAATCGCTCCTACTGTAAAATATATTCTTCAGAAAGTTTACTCAATCACAACCACATTTCATCCTTCCTGATTAATACCGCTGCATCAACAGGGGGTTTGTTTTGACTTCAATGTCCGTTGAATTGCGAATTGCAAATTGCCCTCAAACCTGTCTAGGCACAAAAAAAATATATAAAAGGGCCCGCTGTAATATATTGGGCCGTATCGTGCTGGTATAATTAAACTGTAAGATAAATAACGTATTTAACACAAAGGCGGCTTGCACGCGATAAAAGGTCATTTCAATATTTATGCGTGAAAATGAATAGCTGTGGTGGCAGCAGCAGCGGCAGCAGCAGCAGCAGCCCGAGCGACGAGACAATGCCGCTTAACGTTACGTCTCCATTCAGTCAACGCGACCTTGCACAGCAGCACGGCTCGGCACCGGACGGGGTGGTGGGGCGTGGAGCGAAAATGTGGCAGCTGTGGATTTATCAGTCTTCGGCAGGCAATCTCTCCGTCGTCGGACGATGCTCGACAGCGCTACGCCGGGGCGGGCGTTGGTTGGGGCGATCCCGCTGGTTGCTTATGGGCCGGGCTCCCGCTGCCAACCATCCCCCCCCCACCTCGTTGAGGGTGGGGGGTTAGTGGGGGTGGGGGTTGGCGGCGAGGCACCGTTCCGCTGACAGCCCAGCGTGGACTGCGGTTGAGAGCCCCGCCAGACGGCGGGGCCATTTTGATGTGCTCCCGCGCATTGTGAGCTGCCCCCCCCCCCCGCGCTCTGGCCTTTTTGCCGCGACACCTTATATCGCAGCTGACCTCTGGCAGGAGCATCTGCTTGACGAGCGCCTAATTCTCGCAACCCTAGCATCCATCAAGATCGACAAAGAAAGCTACTTTGTTGGCTTCAGACTGCCCACTTTATTATTGGAGGCCCTTTCTCTCGAGCCCACTGTGCGAGCGGTTTTGGTCATAAAGTGGCGTATAAAGTGAAGTCTGTTCTAAGCATTAACTTTATGCACTTTCATGCTTTCTTTTAAGGGAACCCATGGGGCCGGTTACCGACTGTGTTTTGAAACACAACTTTCATTCTCTACTGGGAATATATTGCACTGTGTGTCGTTGTTTGTTTAACGTTGGCCACCGAGTGAGCGCCTGGCCCACACAAAACACTTGAACCTGCAATGATTTCGCACTTGAGGGTGTCGTATAGTTCACTACCTTTTATGGTCAGCTTCTTAGTCCACCTGCTCATCACTTAATGCGTGTATACCTCAATTCTCTACCAAGCTAGCATTGCTCAGAGGAGGCAGTACCAGTATGCAGGGATGTCACTGAATGCTGACAACACTAAACCTATGTCTGGCATTCAACTAGAGCTCGCTAACTAGTAGGTGTCAATATATTAATTTGATATTGTTTCTTAAGCTTTTGACCCTCGCAGTCACCAGTTGCTGCCACATTCATAATAATTTTAAAAAGTTAATTCTCGAGTCAATTTGTGAGCCTGAATTGCAACAATTCACGAGACCCGTAGCACAAGGCACGCCACCCTGAGCGAGTCCTACAAATGTGGGGTTTTAACATAAACCCCCGTCGAGACAGGCCCGTTAAAGAAAACGAATGACATTTCAAATGTAGCTGTCATCACCGAACGCCAGATCTGTCCAGGACAAACCGGTCGTCTGCTCATTTCGGTTGAGTTTACTTTTTTTTTATCGCCGTGCGGCAGTTTGGCTGTGCGCGTGTCCTCCTCACTTTGGCGCGTGTGTTCGCTCCTTTGCCGCGCAGGCGAGTACATAAAGACATGGCGGCCGCGGTACTTCCTGCTCAAGACGGATGGATCCTTCATCGGCTACAAGGAGAAGCCCCAGGACACCGACCAGCAGGACCCCCTCAACAACTTCTCCGTTGCAAGTAAGAGACCCGCAGACCGCTGGGGGACGGGGTCCTTCCACCGCTCACCGCCTTTTATTAGCCTCTCTTGAGTGCTGTATGTGAATAGTAATGCTATGTGAACAGCAACGTTGTTTCCCAGCTGCCAATGCTGTTGGGCCGGATTCCCATGCCGGGCCTTGGTTACAGAGAGCCAGCGTGCTCTTCGAGTGGCGATGCGTTAACCATGTATGGCCGTATTGACAAAATGCGGATGTGGTGTTTATTGTGCACGGTAATAAAATCGGTGGCTCCTCCACGTTGCTCGCAGCAGTGTTCTGGCACATTTGTTTATTACAGCTGGATGTAGTTTTTAAAGTTGTGCTATTCTGCATCGACGAGCGTGCGGCCCAGGATATTTGTATTGCATTAACAACTGTTTTGACATTCGACACCGCGATGCGTTCGGTGCGCGAACTGCATTTAAAAATAATTTGTTTTTTTTTTTAACATGAGCTGCATCCACCACGCGGCTTTCTGTCGCTTACCTCTGGAATTTCCCACGAGAGGGAGCGCACCGCTCTGCTGTGGCGGGTTGCTTGCGCACATTGCTGTGTTGGGCTACGGGGCATGCCACGTGGTGCTTCCAACTGTGATGTGTTCCAGGCCGTATGCGTGGGTGCGGTGTGGAGTAATCATTGCCACCAGGGAGACAAAGGCGACCGGGAGTGGTGCTGGCCACACCCCCCCACCCCCCCTCACGTGCCTTGCCGGCCTTCATAGGTCCTTGCCAACAGCACTTGCCCGAACAGTCTGTTAAGTGCTGTATGGGGGATCTTGGTATTTTTTTCTTTGCTTATGTTTGTGAGTGCGTCTTGAGTTTTGTGGGTGCGTGTGTGCGTTCGCACGTGTGTGAGCGTGATTGTGTGTGAGCGCGTGTGTGCATTCGCACGTGTGTGAGTGTGATTGTGTGCGAGCGCGTGTGCATTTGCACGTGTGATTGTGTGAATGTGGGGAGTTGTGGTTAGCGCACTGCGCTACGAACCCGGCGACCTTAGTTAAATTTCCGCTCACAGCCAACATAGGGGAGCATATCTTAACCAGTCCTGGGCCTGCCCTACGTCGACTGAACCTTCAATTAGTGCTTTGTGTGGCTGTGTAAGCGTCAGTATTGTGGGGAGCCAAAGGCGGCCGAGCATAGTTCTGATCACCCAACCCCTCACCTGTTGTGCCAGCCTTAAATTCTCGCTAACACCACTTGCCCCAACAGTCTGTTAATGGATTTTTGTTTTAAAATATGGGGGATTTTTGTCTTTCACCGTGTGTGTGTTTGAATGGGTAGCGGTTAGCATACTGCATTACGAACCTGGCTACTCCATTTCAATTCCCGCTCACGGCCAACGCCAGTGACGAATATCTGAAGTCGTCCTGGGCCTCCCCTCGGTCGATTCGACCTCAAATGAGTAGCTGGTGTGGGTGTGTAAACATCGTCACGAAGGAGACAAAGGTGGCCAGGCGTGGTGCTGGCCACCCACTCCCTCGTGTGCCATGCCGGCCTTCATAGGCGCTACTCGCTAACACCACATGCCCCAACAGTCTGTTCAGGCTATATAGGGGGGGGGAGGGATTTTTGTCTTTGTGTTTGAGTGCTGCCTGGGGGTTGTGGGGGCCAGCTTGTGTGTGGGGGTGCATTGTGTTCATGCGTGAGCCATCGGCCACAATGAAAGCAGAAGTCACGTGGTTTCTGGAAAGTGTGTGTGCGTTTCTTTTTCTCGTGTCTGTTGAAATCAGGTGGCAGTGAGATAAAGCTAAAATTGCCACGACTTTACGTTGGTTAATCGTGCGAGCAAAAAGGGTGCATTTTTTTGCATGTCGTAAGTCCTTCGGATTTTTCTCACGTTAAATTTGCACTTTTAATTGGGTGGCTTTCGAGAAGCAGTTGAAGCTGGTTTAGCTCAACAGAATTGGGATGGATTCGAGGTTGTGTAGAGGCTATGGAATGTGATTGCTGCCATCAAAGTGCTTGATGATAATGCCTTGGTAAATGCACGGAGGGTCGCAGAGAGGGATTAGAATGGGCGGTGGGAGGGGGTTTGGGTTAAGTTTAATCCTTTAACGACTTTGTCAGAAATTCCAGGAATTCCTCTGGCTTCAAAACAACAGTAGCCTCAGGCCCACAAGCAGAGTCAACAAGTGTTGGAATGGGCTTTCCCGTTGTCGAGTTGGAGTGTAGAAATGTGGATGAGTGAGGGGGTTGTTTTTAACATTCTTATACTACTGACCAACGTTCCTCTTACATGAGTTATTTTTACACTCAACTGTAATGAACTGCAGCAACAACCTCTCTTATTACGTTTTTGCCACATATAGTCATATGTATATGACACGCCATGAACGCCCTAAATGAGTTGGTGGGTTAAGCATGATCAGGGGTCGGGCAATATGCGGCTCTTTAAGGACTGCTGCTTCGAGACGTTATTCATGTGCATTCCGACTCTTGAAATATTAAGTTATTTTTTTACCGAATTCGGAAAAAATTGGTTGCTCTCGTTATCTTGGTTGCCGACTCCCGAGCATTATGGATTTTTTTTATAAACGCTTGATAGTTATTTTGTTAAATGTGTCATTTACTCAGTAATCCCTCGTTTAGCGTGGTAAATGCATTCCTTCAAAGTGCCGCGTGAAGTGAAAATCGCGTGAAGCGAGGAATTACTGTACTGAATCAAATTTGCGTTGTGAAGTCGGCTTGTAGTCGTCCCATGGTGGGATAAATAACTGAGATGAGGATACGTCACGTACTTTATCATTCCACTCACTGTATCATTCCGCACACTTTATGATACCGTTTGGTTGCGCAGTTCAAGAAAGTAGTTAGTTGTCGACCGCTCAGGAACCTCAACGGACGAACCGCGTTATAGTGAAAATTCGCTGCGCGAAAATGCGTTTAGCGAGGGCTTACCATATCATATAGTGAGGAGTGTTGCTCTGAACATTTTAAGTGTCGAAAAAATTCAACCTGTGAGGCATACTTGTATTTTTATAATGTTTTGGAAGGAACCTGGAACTTAAAATGATACCAAGGGAGGTGCAGAGCATTGTTATTCCAAGGCCTGCTGTAGTCGATCATATCAAGGGGAAGTCGCCCATGTGAGGTGTGCATGCCTTCATATTTCCAGCGGACCACTTGTCATTTTTCTAATTTGCAAAGAACGTAAACAAATCCATCAATAAATCAACCAAAGAGTATTTGTTTTTAAAGCAGCCAGCAAGAAGTTGTAGACCACTCGTCATCCAACAGCGTTCCGTCGCCCTGCGGGTAATGTACACGCCACGTCACATTTCCTCCCTCACGTGCAGCTTTGTGCCCCCTGCCCCTCCCTGCCCCCCCCCCCCCGCGTGTGCACAGAATGCCAGCTCATGCGGACAGAGCGGCCGAGAGCCAACACATTCATGATCCGCTGCCTGCAGTGGACCACCGTGATAGAGCGGACCTTCCACGTGGACACGCCGCACGAGAGGTTCGTGCCCGCTCGGCCGCCGTGAAAAGTTCCGCCATGATCGTTTGTCCCCCGGCCTGATGTGTACGGCGTGGACGCGAGCAAGCGTTTCGCGGGTTCTCGTTTCTGAAACGTCTTGAATGCAAGAGACCAGAGAATGCCTTTTCTCTGGTGAGACGAGGCCGCGTGGTAGCGGCTGGCATGTAGGGCATCCAAGACGTGTGTTTCTTGGAGCGTCAGGACATAGAAAAGGCCATAAAGGAGGCTGTCTCTGGTGCAGGCCAATCTGTTTCAAAGGCAATGCATACATTATCAGAGCATGTTTGTTTGAATGTTTTGCCACAAGCACGTGTGGTGAAAGTGGACTTTTGATGCCTCGCAAAATGTATCGATTTGGAGTTTGAACATCTTAACACCCGTTTATTTGTCAGGAATGGGAAAAGCAAATTCTTATTTTTTTCATACTTTTGATACTGGCAAAAAGGTACCGTAGATAGAGATACATTCACCCCAACAACCCGCACGCCCCGGGGAGGCCCCTCATCCAGCAGTGGGTTTGACAAAAGTAGCTCTGCCTACACATACATGCACCTTGTCGCTCTTCTCCTTGGAGAAAGTTAGTGGTATTTTTGTGGGAACATGGCGGCTGTATGGGAGTGTAAAATATCAGATGGCACTTGGATATATGTGTTGCTACTATGTGCTGAAATTTCTTCCTGTTTATGCCACAATAAAAAGTAGGGAGCTGTAGCCCATACCTGATTAATTGTGGGCCTTATGCAGTAGATAAACATTTAGTTTGCTGCCTTGCCGACAGGTTAAGCAGGTGTTGTGTGGGTGCATTCGGGGGACGGATGTTCTGATTGGCAACAGCAGTAGTAAGGGATTCGAGTTGGCAGGTTGTACTCTGGTGCCCTCTGAGCCCTGCGCATCTTAGTAAATGACTCCCCGGTCGAGTGAGCGTGATGGGCTGCATGGCGTTTCTCATTTTTAATAATAATAATACAATTTATAACGCGTGCAGTGTTGCAGACCGAAGACGCAATTCTGAGGCGTGGAGCCGAGTTCAGTTGTCCGTTCTGTTGCCATTATGTATTTTTGTGTTTTTTTATATTCATGATTTGTTGGCTTTTTTAACGCAGTTTTTTTTAAAATTTCCATTCACTGAATAGACGTTTGCACTTTTATGCTTTATTTTAGCCTGAGGGACAAAGTAAGATCACCGTGATGCTGTTCATGTTAAAGGGTGCATGACATCACTGGGTTCTGAATCGATATAAGAAAAGCTGTAATAAAACCGTCACAAAAGCAAGGCAGACGACATGCAGTACAGTACTACGTACGTGCAGCACCTTTGTGAATACGGATTTCGGCAGGGGGTGAACAGGGCAGAGCTCAACATACGCAATAATTCAAAATGTTGTTTTCCATTCACGAGTAAACTATTCTGCGATTTGCGGCTGGTGTGTTGGAAAAATGTTGCGGTCGTGTGAACGGATGGCAAATTAGTGTGAGGCTTCCCAGAAAACATATCTGACCACAGGCCCTTGTGAGCTTGAGCTGCGTACCTCCAGTTCCTGCCACGACCGTCGTATAGTAGAGGTGACGAAACGAGATTGTCTCTCTAGGCTGAGGGACCTGCAGTGTATGCGTGGTGTTGGGCTGGTACGGTTTAATTTATGATGGGTTTTGTCGTTTGGCTCGAGTCGTGTTGAATTGGCTATTGTGGTGGCAATGTGTGGGTGTCGTTGCGGGTCACGCTTTGGTAGTTCTCAAACAAGCAGCTCCTGCTGGTGTGAGCAGGAGCTGCTTGCTCCATCTGTCGCTCAAGACTACCACCGCTGATGTCGCTCACACTGCACACATCTCCTGCCAAGCCATGGAATTTCCCCCAAATCACCAATAAACACGTGAAATTGTTTAAGTTAATTTATAGTTTTTGTCCATTGTGGATTTTGTGTTCATTTTAGTCTTGGTAACAAAAGAAAAACAATGTATTTTCAAATGAATTAATGTGTTATCATTAATACATACTATGCGCTGTGGATATAAGCGCACAATAATCGTGGGTGTGTGATGAAGCGAGTGGCATATTTACCCAAGGACACGTGCGTGACTTCAGTTGCAATATCTCAGATGACATAAATGACAATGTTGCACGTTTGAAAAGCCCTTCTGTTTACGGGAAATTAATAATTATGGTTGCGTGCACCCTGCGTATCTCACTTGAAAACGGATGGAGATGGCGGCCGTAGGCTGTGCACTCTGACGAGGCGGCAACTGATGGCACGTTGGTATGGTCGCGTGCTTTACCAGGGAGGAATGGCTTCGCGCGATCCAGACGGTGGCCGACCGCCTGCAACAGCAAGAAGATGAGACGATGGACTGCAAGCCCAGCTCCCCTGAGGACGGCTCCAGCACGGAGCAGATGGACACCATTTTGAGCAAACCAAAATCCAAAGTGGTAAGCAACGGCGCTTTGTGTACTGGGCTTTGCACTTGAGGCAGTGACCTCGGTGAGCTGCGCGTCAGGCAGCCCGCATGCTGCTGGCCTGAATTTATCTCAGGTGCACGACAACAGCTGCCATTGTCGTAGACGTTGCTTTTGTTTTCCTGCGCGGCGTCCCCAGATACAATTTCACATGCGATGGCACCTGACATGTGGATTGTCAGTCCTCGCACCTTTTGTTGTCCGTTTGTACCATGTGTTATCACCGTTGCAGTGCATATTTTATTTTCATCTCCACAGTATCAGAGTATCAGAGGTTTGTTTTCTCTGACCACCCTCTGCTTCTATATAATAATAGTCTCATACTTATACAAGGAAGTAGGAGTGGAACTATGCAACAATTAAATGATAAATATACATTCTTGAGCTTAAGATAGATGTCTGAAATCCTACGTGGAAGAATCGATGCTTATCAATTTGGATATATTGTATGAATGAGTATATGCGACCCTTGCAACCAACAGAGGCGCTGACTTTTGGCGCAGCGTTAAAAATCTACGCTTTATTCGAAGAGTCTCATTGATTCATGAGAGTTAATCAAAATGCTGCAGGGGTGAATAATTCCTACCCTCCGAAAATACATGAACTGCATATCTTTCTCAAAAACTGCTTATCGAGGGGGATCCTGCATTTAGATAAATAAAAAAAAGGTATTCACATACGGTTATATTGAGGCGCTTCATTGATTCAGATTTTGCATTGTATAAATAGACACGCCCGAAGTGGATCCATGTCTCGGCAGTAAAAAAGTATTTTGAGTGTTAGCGGCTGCGCACATGGGCGATGGCACACCATCCGTGGCGTCACCCTGACAGCTCTTCCTGTAGATTCTGTAAATTTAAACGCGCCACTCTGGAGCCACTTCCCAGTGTGCGCACTCAACAACTGCTGCGGCTTGGGTTACAGCGCGCGCGGGAAGTTCCGTCCGCATGTCTGCGGCAGGTCACGTTGCCCCCCCCACCCACCGTTTCCCCAGCCACGGTTGTGTGGAGCACAATGATGGGAGATGACTGAAGCGCCACGTGCAGATTGTGTTCGTTCACAAATAACGGGGAGGAGCGCTCGGCCGCTCATTCACTTATTTACACGCGTGCACGCGCGCGCCGGGAACGCTTGCTTTGTCCCTGTGAACGGTGCAAGGGTCAGTCGATGCCAGCCTTGGGAATACGTGCACGCTTTTTAACAAAGTGCAATCCGTGCGTTTCTTACGAATAATGGCAATTGGGCAAGCATTTGAAAATATAATTGTCACGCAATTTCTCGTGCAGGAGCGAAACAGCCACAATTGGGATTATTATACTTATTATTCCAAGTGTAATCAAAAACGGATCTTTCATCTTTCCAAGAAAGCCTCATTGATTCCGAACGACTTGGAGGGTCCTGCAATTGAAATGTTTGGCCAATTTGTTTATTGAGTATTGTCTACAAAAGAGTTACAAATGTGATGCGTGTCCTCAACGCTGAACGCTCAGAGCAGCCTCTCACCGCACTGCACTGCACTTATGGAGGGCGGAGCAGATTTTGGTGCTTGGGCTCAAAATCCTGGTTTCATTTTCTGGCTCTCGCACCCATCGCGCTTTTCATGGGCTTCACGGGAGGGGCTTCACGGGAGGGGCTGCGCGAAGGATGAGCAAAAAGCTCGTGCCTTCCGTGCACCTCGCCCCCACCCCCCACCCCCCACCACCCACAATTTCATGACTGCTGTTGCCTGGACTGGAAGCAGATGTTCATTTAAGGTAGTTTGTGTGTGGCGGGCAAATTGTGGTGCTGTAAAGTGGAAAGAATGCCAGGGCTGTTTGGTTCAGCTGTCTTGGGGTCAGAGCTGGGTAGGAGAGGGGGGGGGGGCGTTGAAGCTGCCGACCTGATGTCAGGAGAGGCATGAAGAATGTGCAGCTGCTGCGATGATGGACTTTTGGAGTGGCGGGTCGGGGCGGAGGGAAGGGGCGGCCGTAACAAATAACATGGAAAAGCCATTTTGAACAAGATGAAAGGGCACAATTATGCAAACGTGTTTGGGGTAGAAGGATCTGCTAGGAATGTGTCATCTATGGTTTTATACTATTTAACAGCATCTTCTCCATGCCCAACTGCTCCCTCGCTGCCAATTTCCCATCCCTTCTCTACCTGGTGCTGCTGTTAAAGTGCCATGTAGGTAGCTTGATCAACGCTGTGCAGTGACCTATGGAATCTTACAAGCTTGTGATTGCACCTTGAGATTGTCATAGGACATGCTACACACAGGAGGGTTTTGTCAAGCTTACATTTGCCATTGCATAGCACATGTTGATGCGTAATTTGTTACGTTTGAAAAAAAAATTGCTATTTAAAACAGATGTCTTCGAGTAATGCTATTGCAGCTAAAACCCAGTTTTCTTGGCACGTTTCCCTGCTTCGGATTGGCTTTTTTGGATTCCCCAGCATATCTCCGATTGTAGTGGTGTACAGTCTAAAGGCCTTGCATCTTCATCTTTTTTACAGTGGTAACAAAATCAAATAATTACAGCTTATAAAATCTAAAGGTGCTTTACATCGATGACAATGCGGGTGGGGTTGGGTAAGAAGTGGCTGATAATGAGTATACTCTCGTGTCTAACACCTTATATAAATGTGGTTGTTTACAGACCATGAACAACTTTGATTATTTAAAACTGCTGGGGAAGGGCACCTTCGGGAAGGTGATTCTTGTACGCGAGAAGGCGACCGGCCAGTACTACGCCATGAAAATCTTGAAGAAAGAAGTCATCGTTGCAAAGGTGAGAACAGCTCTTGTTGTCCCGTTACGGTCCCGTAGAGGATGTGAACATAAATAGCGTTCAGTAACAAAAATTAAAAGATCCCCTTCGCTGCACAAAAGGAAATTGTTGGCTTTAAAATATATCGACTAATCCAGCGGCAAATAACGCTGTGCTTTTTTTTTTTACATTGTATTGATCTTTCTCAGCAGCGGACTGCGGAAGGTGATCACTGCGCAGAGATGTGCGCAGATGTGATCCGGTTGCTTTTGTTGGATTTGTGCAGGGGGGCATGATTCAGGCCTTTGCCCGTGATAAATAATAGAGAGAGGATTCCAAAGGAAACTATCCTGCCTGCCATTGTTGTCTGCAAAGGTCTTTATTAAAAGGAAAAGAAAAGTCATGATTTATTAACTGCACTCTCTTTATGTACTCTCAACAGGATGAGGTTGCACATACACTGACAGAGAACAGAGTGTTACAAACTACAAAGCATCCGTTTTTAACGGTGAGTGCCCAGCATGGCCAGACGTCTGAGTCAGGCCTGGAGCCAGTGTGTGTGATGGTGTGTGTGTGTGCGCGCGCGCCTGTCTTTCTACACGTATGTGTACACGCCAGCGTGCGCGTGCATGTAGGTGAATGTGCGAGTGTGCGCGCGGCAATTGTGTTTAATGCGATTTGGCAGGAGCGCACGGTTGTCGGACAAAAGCAACGTTTGTTTGCCTCAATGAAGCCACAGGTTGGTGGTCCAGTCTGGTTTTGGTTTCTCTGGCCGCGCCGGGTTCGGGGCCCCTGTGCGTTAATGCGCGACTGGTATGACACGTGAAAGAACTGGAATTAAATTACAAATATCCCATCGCAAGATATGAGCGCAACAAAAAAAAGATTCGCCCAACATCCTTGATCCATATGTCTGGCCAGCTGGATATTGTTCAGTGTGGTTTGATCTATCTCCAGTTGATTGCACAGCCTTAGGTCATTTGATAAACAATGGACAGTACGAACAGCATGAAAAGCTCTTTTAAAACAAATTACACGAGAAGCAACTTTTGCAAATTAAAATGACCAAGGTTATCCTGTTTTATTAACATTTTTGCAATAAACGAGTCGCAACATTGTAATATACCTTCTTTTGTGGGAAACCCCCTTAATAAAGCGGCTGCTGTTTTTATGCCTTGCAGCTGCTGAAGTACTCCTTTCAAACCCACGATCGGCTGTGCTTTGTCATGGAATATGTCAATGGCGGAGAGGTAAGATCGCCGGCTCTTCACACCCCCTGCTTGTGCACAACAGCGACCGTTCTCCACGGTAGAGACTTTGTGATTTATCGATCACAGTACTGTGGCATGTGAGCAAAAGCACAAATTGTCATTTTATAATCGGAAGAGATTTGTTTTCGTAATGAACTGTGTCCTGGCGAACCCAAAATAACAAAAAGCAGCGATGATGGATTTACATATAAATAACAAGCACAGCCAACACCTGATATTAATTTTGAACGTAAATACACCTACGCACGACATGACACCGTACAGTCTGTCTCGCATGAAATGACATATGAAGTACCTTCCTGCATCTAATTAATAAAACCCTGGTTAGAAATGTGTAACAAAAAAATATATTTTTTGTCCCTGGGTAGTAAGTGTTATTTCCTAATTGCTTACGCCTCAAAAGTACAGAAAATGGCTATTATTCCCCACAAACTTTGCTTTTGTGACAAGGACAGTGATTTTTTGAACTTTGCCTATCTTCATTGAGGAAACACTGTGTGCATTTGTGTCATTCCTTCACAAAGTCCTGGTCACAAAAGCAAAGTTTGTGGTGAATAATAGCCATTTTCTGTACTTGTGAGGCATAAGCAATAAAAAAATAACACTTGCCTACCCAGGGGACAAAAATCGTATTACATAGTGTAATCACCGGTTAATGAATGACTGAAGAATGTAATGATTAACCTAAGATTATTTCTATAGGATAATTTCTGTGACATGTTTGAGCTATTTTACAGTCTCCCGACTACATGTTTATAAGTTGCATCACATACAAACGTTCAGAGAAATGCCTCTCTTCTCCTTTAACCATTTTGTGTAAATCTTCATCATGACTTGTAATCTGCAGGGAACAAAGGTCGTTTTAAAGGCTCTCTCGCGTTCCGTGTCACTTCTTTTCTTTTAGCTGTTTTTCCACTTATCCCGGGAACGCGTTTTCTCTGAAGATCGGACACGATTTTATGGAGCTGAGATAGTCTCTGCGTTGGATTACCTTCACACTGAGAAAAATGTCGTGTACAGGGACCTAAAGGTAGGAGGATGTCACAGGGGTTCGCGTGATGGATTTTTATTTGCATTAAACATTTTTTTTTTACATTTATCAGATGAGGTTACAAATGTCACATTCGGAGAAGTATGGAGAGATGGATGATTAGAATTGCACTGACAGAAAGAGGGCCGTGGGGGCGAGATGTTAACTCCCTCACCTGGTATGCAGGTGGTCATAGGTTCGATCCCAACTCTGGCGCCTGTATATTTGGAGTTTGCATGTTCTCCCCGTGTTTGCTTGAATTTTTCTCCGTGTCCTCTGGTTTTTCCCTCCACATTTAGAATCATGCGTTTTAGAGTATTTAGCTGCTATAAACTTCCACATGATAAGCCACTTCTTTGAGCTATCATTTGTGGCCAAGTTGCTTCTGAAAGAGAGCTATATCGCTCAGTGGACCTTACCTGGCCAAATAAAAAGTTCAGTTCAGTTTTCGAGTATTTAGGTACACGTAGATCAGAGAACATACACAAGCTAGAGATGTTGACTGCTAAGGAGTTGAGGGTGCTTGGGCAGGGCACGTCATTAGAAGGGGACGATGATTGTGGATGAGAGCGGTTACAGAATGGAAGCCAAAGGAGACAACAGAATGGGTGATGACCACCATGCAGAATGAGTGATGAGATCAGCTCATGTGCAGGAGTGGGCTGGATTGTGGGATCGCAGGACTGTGTGGGAAGGCGATAGCGCAGAGGGGCCTTCATCCAGCAGTGGATTACTAATTGCCGATTATGATGATTTGCATTGAGCCATTTTATTTATGGTTTTGTTAATGATTTCTTGTTTGTTTGAAGACCTTAAATTGATTTGCTAATTGATGACTTGTGTTTTTGTTTGTTGGCAACGTAGCTTGAAAATCTCATGTTGGACAAAGATGGGCATATAAAAATCGCAGACTTTGGGCTGTGCAAGGAGGGCATCACGGATGGTGCAACCATGAAGACCTTCTGTGGCACGCCCGAGTACTTGGCTCCCGAGGTGCGTACCAGGGTCCCTGGCTACATCACTCCCACCATCAGCCTGGCAGCTGCAGGACAAAATATTACCCTGAGAGCGGTGGCTTACACAGCTGTTGTGCTGGATTCTGGCTATGTGGGTTCCAGCGTGACAGATGTTTGATCCATCAGACTCCAGGAATGTTTTGGAATCCAGCTGTTACCTTTTCATCATGGCCAAATGCTTGTCAAATTTTGGTAAACTTGCAACGTTCTTCTGCCGTATTTCATTGGCTTTCATCTAATTGATGTTCGAAACTGAAGTTTGCTCCTTGTTCATGAATTTTGCACGAGGTTTCTTTTGAGAGTGAGCCTGAAATTGGGTTACAGCTTCTGAATGTGAAGTTTTTATGAGCGGTTTTGCAATTTGAAAACGCTGGTCTGGGTTTTGTCATAGTGCTGGCAGAACAGAAGCATTTTGAACAACCTAACTTAATTTTCTGAGAACAAGACTTTGGCTTTTTTTGGTAAAAATACATTAATATGCAAACAATATTGGCCACAGGCTCTGGACATTGGTTACACAAATGACCCAACTGTATTTAATTATATGACGCAGCTCTTGGTGTTTTATAAATGCAATTTGAGCTTATGCGTACAGTGAGAAATGCAGACCAGCTACGGTATATTACATTCATTTTGCTTTAACATGTAACACGTGTGTCCTTTCACACACTCCGGGAGAGTGTTTCTGTTGCCTCAGTGTTAGCCAATTCGGTTGGGCGGGCAGGCCTCCCTTCAGATTCAAACAGCAGGAATGCCCTGTCCTGATGTCCAGGAAGATGCTACCTATAGTGGTGTAAGCTCATAGGCACCCAGAGTGGTTGTGATATTTTTCTTTCTCTCTTCTTCCTCCCAACAACCTCGACCCCACAACTTCCTACAGGTGCTGGAGGACAACGATTATGGGCGGGCGGTGGACTGGTGGGGCCTAGGTGTGGTCATGTATGAGATGATGTGTGGGCGCCTGCCCTTCTACAACCAGGATCATGAGAAGCTGTTTGAGCTCATCCTCATGGAGGACATTCGCTTCCCGCGCACTCTCTCCAATGACGCCAGGGCACTGTTGTCCGGCCTGCTCAAGAAAGACCCCAAGCAGAGGTAGATTATTCAAAAAAATGTCCTTTCTCAGCTTTCACTAATTTTGATTCTATTCCAAATCCTCCACGAATGTGTATGTTGAACTTCATTCGCACACCATACATAGCCAACTGCTAATCAGGTGCGGGGGTAGGACCACAAACTAGACGCAAAAAGCAGTTGTAAATGTGTCAGATCGTGAGAATCTTGAGAGCATAACTAGTTGAGATTAAACTCAAGGTTATCACTTTAAGGCAGGTTCATATCTTGTGATTACTGCATGTATTTGATATCACATGTCGTTTGTTTCGTGGCAGACTGGGTGGCGGCGTAGACGATGCCAAGGAGATCATGAGGCACAGTTTCTTTGCTGGAATAATATGGCAAGATGTTTACGACAGAAAGGTAAGCCCAACCTCCTAAAGAGTTCATCTTGCTGTGCTGTTGCCAATGTAGTTATTGTCTGGTGCTGTTATTTTAATTGAGTAAAAGTTGCTGGTTGGTGGAGCTTTGACTGGATTTGTAGAAATGTTTTCATTTAACTTTATTTCTGTCAATAACCTCGCAACCCCCAGATGACGCCTCCCTTTAAGCCACAAGTAGCCTCAGAAACCGATACGCGTTACTTTGACGAAGAGTTCACGGCACAGACAATCACGATCACGCCGCCGGACAGATGTGAGTACCTCCGTTAATGCCACAAGGCTTAGAAATCTTAGTCATCTCATAATTACCTTAAGTTTATAAACATTTATGCTCTCTTTCTATTGTATTGCAAAGCTAATTTATATATGTATAAAAGCAAACAAATATGCTGGTATTGAGTGTTGCACCCGATTTAACGTGTTTTAATTCTGCACAGTTGACAGCATGGAGTCCCTCGACAACGAACGGAGACCACACTTCCCGCAGTTCTCCTACTGCGCCAGCGGCAAGGAGTAGTTCCACACTGACAACGCCACAGACCTCACGCCTGACCCATCGCAAACGAACCCATCCGCACCACCGGCCAGACCAAGGGGACAACCTTCCCTTCTGAAATGAGCTCGCGACAACCCTGCCTCTGGTGCCAGTCGATCACAGGCTCGATACCTCCTCCTCCCCTGCCTCGAGAGAGCTCAAGGCAGGCAGTGCACGGCAATGCTCAGGTGTGCTGTATGCTAGAAGGTGTACTGGATCACCTGAAGTTGCTGATCACGAAGACGAACTCTGTGGGTGGCTTTCCACTTAACTGACGCAGCATCAAGGCCTGAAGTTATACAAATGGGCAACTGTAATAATTATTCGTAGAGGCGTTAGGTACTGAGGCAAACACAGCTTTGTTTTGTACAATTGTTTGCCGAATATAATTACAAATTGCCGTTGTCAAGTGTAGCAGTGTGAATATGGAAAATGAGGTCTGACGTGTGAACAGTGATAAACTGTTTCCCAGAAGATAAGGTAAGCGAAATTCTAAAAGCAATTGGGGAGTAAGCTGGTCACGGCAAGCCCCACAAACCAGGAGGATGGGGGTCAGCCATTGGGGAGTTTTTTAGACGTGAAATCTGTTTTGCTTTTCCCCAACATCTTTCAGCCTAACACACGGCTGCAGGTACAACATGACTTCTATCTACGGAAGAACCATTACTTGGATGAGCCCTGTTCACTGAAGAATTATGTTGTCAAGTTTGCAAGCACACCAAAGTAAAGACAAAAATACAGAATTGAATGGACAATAAATCTCAGTATGGATCAATTTTTAATTGTATTTTAAATCACATCGAGATTTTTTCCTCCTTTTTCCAAAGTGCCCAGGTCTAGTGAACCTGTTGTTTTTTTAACCTCTCTTTTCTGTAAAGGTTTGCTGCTACAATAAAAAAAACCCACTGCTTGTAATCTTTCTTGTACAAAAAAAAGACTTGCATGTACATATCATCCGTTTTAGTGAAAATGTAGAAAAAGGGACATTCATTTTATTTTATGAAACCTGCTTTTGTTTATGAATTTCAAGTTCTACAATGCAGTCGGCTGCATTTCTAAACACTTCCACGCTGTGGTAATATTTAGGTATTTGACAAATCATGTTGGAAGATTCTGCCGTATGAACGGCACACGAGCGCGACATGGAATATTTAACAATTCTGATATTAAAGGTGATTTTTTTTTACTAATTGGTACCCTGTGCACGAATTGATGTAAGAAAGCCAGCAAAAGTGAATGTTTAAAAAGTGAAAGTGACTTAGTCATTTTCATTGCCTTAGTTTTGCTGCGACTAGTAAACTATAATTCTGCTAAAATACTAATACCGTAGTTCCTACATTTGTGAATATACTGTAGAATAGTAAAGCAAGCCATTTTTTCTCAATTCACTTGCATAGCCCTAGTAGCCAGATCAATGAATGACAAGGTCAGGTCATGAAAGCAATAAAAACTACTGTAACAAATGCACGTGGTTTATTTGAGGTTATTTTATATTTTCTACATTGTACTGTAGAAATCGGAAAGATCATTGTCAATTAGTGCCTCTAATGAAATAATGCTGCAGCACTTTCATCTGTCTTTTTATTCCTTAAAAAAACGAATTGTGCAAAGCAGGCCAGGATGGAGGAGGCCTTTTCCACACATTGGATATTTTCCACCCATTCCATGGACAGTCATCAGCTGCAGCTGGGATGTTTTCATTGACGGAGCTTTCTTTCACAGGACTTAAGCAGATTTATGTTCTGTATGGTATAGCTTCACCTGGTGTACTAATCACAGTTTGTCTGGGGTAAGTGTACTGGGACCCCCTCCTTCTCCCCCTTACCAGAGGCACTGGCCTATCAGTGAAGCTTTGTATGCTGTAAAACTGTAGTTGAAGTTTCATTGCACAAATGATTTGTTTTTTTTTTCAGACGCTTAAATAAAAAAAAATATTACGTACCTCATGACGTGTGCTACACTCCAATTTTGCATTTTCACAGTCGGGTAATGTATGAACTATTAAGTGATGAATGGTGTAGTAAATAATAGACAATCATATACAAATGTATTGCATGTATAGTTTTTATCATGACAAGTTGCCATGCGTTAAAAAACATATAAAGACATGGTAAAAAAAAAGCAATTTCAAGATTAGTTCATGGAAAAATATATTTTGTATGCTAACCTACCCCCCTTCCCCCTCACTATATAATTTGTTTAATTTGGAAAAAAAACCTTCCACCTTTTAAAAAATCACTTAACATTGGCACATCACGGACAAGCTTAGTGTACCACACATGGATATTAAGCCAAACTGCTTTGTGCGATGGCTTCATCTTCATTTATCTGCTTTGGAAAAGTTCAGCTGAAAGGAACAGGACAAGAGATAATGTTTTAATGCTGCTTCAGTTGTGCAGTGTTTTTCTATTAATTTTTCATATACTTTTCCTGTTGCCATGCCCACCAATAACCACGAGCCTGTGAGAAGACAGCCAATCTCGTGTTGTTATAACTCAAGGACAATAATCCTTTAGAGGTGCAATACCAAAATGGCATACTTCAATATTATTACTTGGAAAGGAGTGGTGCTACATACCTTAAGGTTTGTTTGTTCATTCTACAGTAAGTCTCAATGTGCAAATATGCTAAATATACATGAACATGTTTGCAATTCTTTATATAATTACAACTTAAAAATAGAAGTCACAGGGTGAATCCTGAATATAAAACATTTGATAGCTTGGACACTAAGCCACATTTTTGTTTAAATAAAGTATTGGAACAAATATTTTGGCTCATTCACATTGCACTGCCAAGCTGTTGCCTACACTAGTGACGCTTGCGTCCCAAGGTCTGGTCACATTTACTCCAGCAAGTATAGTTGCCTCCCTCCCCTCTTTACATGGACTGTGTAACCCGCACTGGTGCAGTGCGGGTTACCACAGTCCATGACTGGGTCTTTCTAAGAAGCCGTAACTGCCTTGGTTGTAAACAGGATGTGGGTCACTGATAAGGAAGTAAAGGCTTTGCTTTGGTTAGGGTTGAGGAAACGGTGGCCTGACAATCTTAGATGGGATACAAATTGTTTTTTGACAATGCGTAAACTGGAAATTGAACAAATGGAGCACTTGTGCTTAAAAAAAAAACTAATTTAACACTAATTCATGTCATAGCAACTTGAAAAGGTGGTGGGGGGGGGGGCGGGCACTTTTTCTACGTAAAAACCTTTCCAGGGTGCTTTTTACGATCGTGAAGCCGCCAAACTGGGCCAACCCTTACCTGGGTTTTCAGGAAGTGCGTCTCGTGGGAGAGCAGCTGGCGTTCGTGCAGCAGGGCTCCCTGCTTGCCGAGCAGCTCCACCACCTGGCGCGCACTCGCCTGGCTGTGCACGTCCAGCTGTTGCAACCTGGTCAGGCGGTTTGTCGATGGGGGGGGGGGCAGGCCAAGGGTTAGTGGAGGAAGTGGGGAAGGCGTGACAGGGGTGTTTAAATAACCTGCTGCAAACAACTGTCCGCCCGCAGTAGCTGCTCAGTGTATAATTTTAGCTGCCGCACAAGTCGTAACCCTGTAAGGTCAGGTCACGGTAATGTCCGGTTCTCTGAACATCGAACTGTTGTATTCAAATTGCAGCGAACGTGACCAATTTTTTCATTTTACACTTAAAAGTAATGTCCATTAAAACTTAATAAAACATTTAAATGTACCGATTACGCATAACCGCAGCATCGGATGTAAGCCACGTTGAAGTTCCTCTTTGTGCATGCAAATTATGTTTCATGCTTCTCCAGCCAGACAGTCGCCGTCACCTGTGGAGCGTGTAGGTGTGGCGGTACTGCTGGCTGCCAACGAGAACCTTCCATCGCTGTTAATACCATTAACTTTTTGAAATGGAGGTAGACAATCAGAAAACGTATCCACAACTCGTTCAGTGCTTCAGTTTTACTCAGGAGAAGAGGCAAGATTGCAATTTATTGTCTTGTTAGGTTTCGAAAAGCAGTACTTCCCAATTGTGTTTAGGCCACAACCTCCCTTTGCCCCAAAACATAAATTAGGGGCCATTGTGGCTCCACCTGCATACAAGAAATAAACATCCCATCGTTGATAAGAAAAAAACAAGTTCTATGTAATGTATTATATGCACAGTTCTGTGAAAATGAGTTATTCAATTAAGTTATTTGAAATGCTTGTGTACAAAGAAGCTTCTTTGAGTTTCCCGATACGGAATGACATTTTTGTAAATCCATCTTTTTCAAAATAGCAACGTTCACCAACACCACAACCATCCATCACCACAGCCCTTCCAGATCACACGCGCATTTCCCACTGTGCCACGTTTCGTGACCTATTTTAATGTCTTCATATTTTTGTTTGTCTACGAAAATATGACTTGATTAGTAAAACGTCCCAGTGAGGTATATAGTGTTATCTCAAAAACACTTTCATGAGGCATACAACATTTTAATGGTGTGTCTATGTGCTGTATTGAATACGGGTCTTAATGGAAATGTTTACCTCGCCTGTCACATCGATGCCCACAGACATTACAGTATGTTGTACTTGATCTGGGTTTGGAACTTTCTGGATTCATTTGTTTTGATCACAAAATAGACAGGCCCACATTACATTTTACTTAAAATCCATGTGTTCACTCTTTCTTTGTAATTAAATATTAAAAGCATGTTACATTGCGTTCTGATAATAAAATAAATAACAATACATGGTGTAATGGTTTGCGCAATTTATCTTTTAAGAACTTTCACTCCCAAGTTGTGGGTCTCCTCGGCCACTTGCAACATCGTCTGTTATTGTTCAACAGTCCTTCCTACCCACTTTCAAATCGCTTAAACTCCTCTTGAACTGAACGCACAAACTGCAAAGTAATCACACGACCATATTCCGGCCAATTAAATTATCCAATTTAGGGCCGTGTGTGCACTTTTTGTGCTCTCATAATGCGTGCTTATGTGCCCAATAAATTACAACCCCTGCCAGCGAGTGTGGTAATATAAAACACAGTAATTCAACCAAGCGTGACTAAATATTCTTGACATTTTTCGGATTCCCCAAGATAACAATGCACTCTCTTTGACCCCGGCCAGCTACTCATTGGGTTGTAACCGCCAGGTAAAGAAACGCAAGTTACTTTTCTTTCAAATTTTGCCTCGTCACTCACACCGAACCACGTTGATCGGAAGGAATATTTGTGGGTTATGCATTGAAAAAAATGCAAACGCCAAACCCAAACAAAATGTTCTTACCGAAGTTTTTTTTGCGTGTGCCAATATTCAACATTGTGTATACTTCCTAAAAGTTAGTCATAGTGGAAAGGGATGATTGTAAAGGGGGGGCGGGGGGTAGAGTGTACGGTTTCTGTACAGGGGTTTATTTTGGAAGCGGTGTTGTGTGCAGCGTTATTTGGGAGCGCGCTGGAGGCTCCGGTTGCGGCACGAGAGACCCGATACCCGGCTCAGGCCGACGGCAGCCAGACTGGCTGGCGGCACCCGCAGCTGTGCCGCCCTTATTAGGAGCCGCGTCTGCCGGGGGGCACAGGTGTGGTCAGGACCGGAGCCGCACTCAAGGGCTGCTGTGGGCAAGGGCACGGGAAAGAGGGGGGGTGGCAGGGAGACGGGAGATAGTGGTGCCGTCTCCCCCTCCCTTCCACTCCCAATTCCATCACTCTCTCGACTGACGGAAATACCTGATGCCAGCTGCCATGACTCATCCTCGTTTCGCTTCTCCACTTGCCAACAGCGGTTAAGCCAACCTTTAAATGAACCTGGTGAAACTGCCAATCTAATTCCTACTTTAATTTATAGTGAGAGTTGTAAATTAGAGTGTATCTGATGATCATCTTAAAACTTTTAGGTGGCTTAAAAAAAAGTGTGGTGGCTTGAAGAGAATAACCCTATAGATATGCCAGAGCTGGAATGTGCACATATGAAGGGTGTGCTTACACATTTGAACTATTTGCAGATAACATAATATGATTTTTTCTACAAGCTGGATGCTAAATCCAGAGGAGAGCACTCCAGGCTGGAAGTGTGCCATTTACCCATGCTTTGGCGACAATAGGCATCGTCGGTCACATGCAACCCTGCATTCGGTGATGATGATGTCAATGAATGCTCATGGTTAGATTAACAAGCAGTGAGGCATGTATTTTTTTAATCTTGCCATGCCTCTACAATTTTTATGCCTGGCAAAAACATTTGCACACTTGACAAATCATTAAGCCAATAATGAACCAAATGCTACTCCTGCAGCTGATAATAATTCGACTTAATCGAGGGGACACCCATGACTGCTCTGTTGGCCAATGTGCACGGTTACTGGTTGGGAAGTGTACCCGCGATGCTCACCGCTCCTTCATTCGCTCGTGGATTCGGCCATGCTGCACGCACTGCGACTCCAGATCGTCCGCTCGCTGGCGCGTGCGCGCGAGCCGCTCGCGTAGCTCGCCATTCTCTTGGCTCAGCTGGGCCACCTCTGCCCTGCACGTGGACAGATTTAGCGGTAGTCCACACTGGCATTGTGGAAAAGGGGCACACGAGGAGGGTGCCACGTCTTTATTCTTTTTGTGGGAGGGGAGAAGTCTTTTAAATAAAAATGCAATATTTTTGACGTTCTGCTTCATCAAGTAGGGGGGTCGGACGATCAAATCTGAATGATTTATGAGTTGGGGAAGGAAGTAGCTGTAGTGGCCCATGAAGGTTATGAAATTACACGACGTATAGCTTGCCCCCCTCTTCAAAAGATGGAGATCAGCACGCTACTTACCCTCCAAGTTCCCAAATCCATTGGAACAACATAGCAAACCAAGTGAGAGTAGTGTGATAGCATTTACAGCTAACTTACACAACTGTATCAGGTACGGTATCGGCATGCTAAAAATCAGACATAAGGCATCCGTGACACACAGAAATCACAAATCATAGCATCACGCTCGCAAAACTGCATATCACAATGCTGTACAAAACAAGCAATAAAAAAATACACAAGCGGAAGTGTACACTGATTGTTTATAATCTACGAGCCCCAGTTACTTTTAAACCAGCGGCTTGTGGTCTGAATTATCGTAAGATGTGACAAGAAATATGCCTGGCGCTTTAGCGGTTAAATGGTGAAATAAAATGTCAACCGTGGACGTACCGGTACTTCTCGTTCATTCCACTGAGCTTCCCAGAAAGGAGCTTGCATTCATCTTTTAGCTGCTTCAGCAAAGCATTTTGAGAGCTTGAAAGTGCCTCCAATTCACTCACTGTGTAAATATATGAAGCAACAGCATTCCTTAATGAGGGAAATGTAATCCTCTGCAGTCCACATGTACAGAAGAGTAATGCAGTTCTAGCAGTTGTAAATTTACCTGAATTTTAAATCTAATGTCTAGGGTAACCCTATCAAGACCAAGGATTTATATTTGTACGTATATGACTTATCCTTGTAAACTAACGGAGTGCATCCAAGCTAAGATTTTTACAACCATCTGTTTCACTGGATTAGCAAATGCAACAGACGGTGTGGCAGAGTGTATAGTTGAAGACAGCTGTGCTGCAAACACCCTGGGCAACGTGACATTTCCTTGATGAAACGTAAATGCAAAAAAAGAAGCCAACAGCAGCTGTTTCATCATACCTTGGAGGATAAGCCACTGGACATGTTAGCTGTGCATTAGTCCTATTACTGAAATCTTGGGGAGAGTAAAAAAACGACTGCTTTTCTTTGCAAAAGTAATACAATTTCATACACACATAATTTTCATTGCTCATATTAATGGGAGAGGGGCTGACTTGCCTCTCTCCCGGTGCTGGCTTTCGGAGAGCTGGATGTGTGCAATCAGCTCTTGCTCTCGCTGCTCAGCCTGCGTCCGCAGGCTCCTCGAGTCGTCGGCGATACGTCTCTGCAGAGATTCTTTCTCCATCCTAACTCGTACACACGCAAGCACACGGGCAAAGCGCGTGCGCAAACCAAACCTGAGAATGGCACATCTGGTGGCAATGCCAAACTCCATTCCTCTGCACTCCCCGACAGCGCAGGTTTCCATCTTTACCAGTCATCTCTGTCCACATCTAAATTAAGTCGGTACACCTTGCAAGCACCTGATGATTGGCGAGTAAAAATGGAAAGCTATGCCACGGAGGGTTGAGGGGGAGGCGTGAAGAATGCATTTTGGGAAATGGTGGGTTACACAATGTGCCGGCCCGCTGCTGCTGCAGTTGTTATTGCCCGCTTGGCGATTGCTCACCTGGCGATCTGGAACTGCTGTTCGGCTGTGCCCAGCCGGTGCGTGAGCTGTATGCGCTCATCCCCGGCACGTGCAGCCTCGCCTTCCGCTCTCTCCAGCCGCCGCCGCAGCTCCGCCAACTCCATCTCCAGTCGCTCAACCTCCTGCTCAACAGCAAGGCCGGGGACAATACTTCGAATGTAACACGGCGTTTCTGTGGGCAGTTGGTGCTGTTGAGCGTCATAAAATTAGCAAGTGATGAACAGTTCGAAAGCTGTTGGCAAACGGGTAGAAATGTTTGAATCAATTTACAGGGAGAAGGTACAAACCTGCTCTTTCACATCCATCTGCCGCATTGCTTTCATTCTATATTCTTTGAGTTCTTTCTCTGCCTCGTCCTTGCGTAGTTTTGCCTGGTTTAGCTGGAAGCGCATCTCTCCACACATCTGCACATCAGACAGCAGTGGCACAGCTCGATAAACCAGGTGTTTTCATCGGATCTATTGAAAATATTTTTTCCCAATATGAACTTCAGTGTTTTTATACGATACATATTTACACAATATGTTCGGGGCAAGCAACATTGCAAGTGCACTTTATGGAAAATTTTAAGAGATGCAGCAACACTCAGGAGGCACCAACGGCTGCACCTTGCTGAGGTCGGTCTCGTGAGCCGTGAGCTGCTTCTGTGCCTCCTCCAGCTGGTCGCCAATGACTCCCTTCTCTCGGGTCAACCGCTCCAGTTGCGCCTCCAGGGTGCCTACTTTTTCTGACAAAAACTTCACCTGGGTGGTACACAAAGACAAAGATCCCCCATGTAGCCTTCAACAGCGAGCACCTATGAAGGCTGGCACGGCTACACGTAGGTCAGTTCGGTGGCCAGCACCGTGCCTGGCCGCCTTTGTCTCCCTAGTAGAGATATTTACACACTATACCAGGCACTCATGTATAGTCCGAGTCGACCTAAAGGAGGCCCAGGACCAGTTCAAATAATCGTCACCGGTGTTGGTTGTGAACGAGAATCGAACTCGGGTGGGCCGGGTTCGTAGCGCAGCACGCTAACCGCTGTGCACACACGTCCACACATGCACAGACACAGCAGTAGATTTTCTTTCGTATCTTGTAAAAAAAAAAAATCCAATGTGTTCTCGTGGGTTATTAAGGTTATAAAGTTGTGATTTGACAACAAAGCACATGGTGTGTCAAAGCTTGCTGTACATCTGAAAGGGATATTGACAGAAGGTACTGGTCGAAAGGTCAGGACACTACCCCGCTTAGCTTGTTTCAAGTAATCTCATACAATGCCAACAGACAGCTAGGGAAGACTAAACTTTTGACAGTTTGCAAAAACATGTTCATGTTCGAAGCATTCAACACCCCAGGGCATGACAAAAAACATCCTCGAACTACACTGTAAAAGCAGACTCCCAGACTGCACTCAAAATCAGGAAAAACTGAACGAGGAAAGCTGCAGCTTCTCATAAATAATTAATTTATCTAAAAAACTACCCACCATCTGCCGGTGCAAGTTCACCAAGGGCATACATTCAGGCATAGAATGCATGCATTTTATTACTGCCTTCCCTTAAAGGCTGTTCAGAAATGGTAGTTGGCCTTCATTTACAACCAGGTGAGAGCCCATTACAAAAAAAAAGAAAGTTTATCTTTTGAGTGACCCCCTACCTGAACAATAAATTATACGGTACAAATTTGTGAAAAGGCATGACATGTATAAGTGGCAAATAATTTGTAGAATATCAGTAATGCAAAAGCATACCTTTAAATATGGAGTTAAAACGGGTTGATAATATGCATTGAGCAAAAAAAACTATATATTGCAATAACAATTTGCAATAATAAAAATTTAATGTGGATGTATCACTATAATTTCATAAGAGTAATTAATTACAAGCTTCAGCCGTGTGATTTTTGCACAAATGTACAATAACATAAAAAGACTGTTGTTGAAGTGTACCAAATAATATTTTAGTTTTCACCAAGCACTTACTGCCTAAACATTCAAGTGCATTACTTTGTACGTGTTTAGCCCTGTGTCAATTCACTGCTAGATGACAGCCTTCCCCCATCATGTAGGTCATGGGGATTATTTGAACATACTTCATCACGCTGTAGTGTGGATTTGTGAAGGCAGAAAGCATCGCTACAACAACAACCGCAGTTCGCCAATAAGTGGCGGTGACGTCACCACGGTGCTTGTGCCAGGCTAGGTGCACCGTGAGACCACATGAAGTGTCCCAAGATTTTGCCGGCAGGAGGTCAAGGGGCAGACAAAGGTGCCATGGGCTGACTGACATGACCATCAGAGGCACCACCTGTGCTCCCTACTTTGCCAACTTGCTGCGTTTTAGCCATCCGGCGCTCCGCTCGTTATGATGAGCGTTGCTCCTCTGTCCACCGCTGTTGTTGGAGGGCGGCTTCCTCCAACTTCCCAGTAGTGTCCTTCTCGAGCCTCCTCCACAGAGGCTAATCTCGACACCGCTTGTTCCAGTCATTGGCAAGTTCATTCAGTTCCAAAATTATTCTGTACCGCATCAGTCCATCTCTTTTCTAGCCCATGCCGTGCCCGTCTAACCCCCTCTATCAGACCAAACAGAAGCTGCTTGGGCATGCGTTGGCTAGGTACGCGGGCTACATAGATGCCCTCTGTCACTCACCATGTAGCCCCGTATCCTATAACAACCTGCTGTGCATGGTGGTCACTCTATCAAGCACTGTGAGGTCTTAAAACTGCTTAAATTCTGAGACCTGATGAGATTGGGTGCATTCTGGGTGATCATAGGCAAGCATGCTATCAGTGACTGACACATTCTCAGCTCGTCGTCAGTGCAGATTACTTCATTTTAGCCCATGGTGACTTACAGTAGAATCCAACGCTTTCTTCTCCTTTCCAGCCTCATTGTGGGCTGTATTGCGGGCAAGCACGATCCGTTCCTGAAGGAGGGACAGCTCCTTTCCGAGCCGCTCTTTCTGCCGGCTCAGCTCCGACCGAATCTGTTCACACTCCACTGCCATCTGCAGGGCCAAAGAGTAGAGGCAAGCAGAAAACATTTAGTCAATGGCTAGCCATGAGAGGAAATCGCCACCATATCAAATCCGATTATTACATTTTCCCTGACTGCTAACGCTTTGCAAAATTAACATTCAGCCATTCGGTAAAGTTAGGCAACTTCGGTTCCTCTTCTTGTCACATTGAGTGATGTTGCATTGGAAGCTGAACGTCATGCCTTGGCTTTCTCCAGGTTGGCTTCCTCGGCTGTCTCCAAAGTGGCTTTGACCTGCTCGCAGGCGGCAGCCTCCCTCCGCTGCAGCTCGCTTACAGTGCATCTCAGCCCTGCCAAAGTGTCCATGAGCTCATCTCGTTCCCTGCACACATACACACAAGTGTTCTGATGTCAGATGTGTTTAATAGCATACACATCAGCATAGACAGTTTTTGGAATCGTGTGTGATTTTTGTTGTTGTTATATTACTATAGTTACTTATTTTACATGGTTCTAGTATTATAGTTATGCTTGTTTACTCAGGAAAGCCTCACCAAGTCTTCAAACTTTTTCAGAAGGGTCCTGCCAAGTTTCCCGCAGTAGAGGGCGATGCGCGGTGTGTAATCCCATAATCGAGTAATCTGAAGATCGTCTTTCATCATTGGGGTGTTTGGCCGATACCAAATACATTTATTTTTAGCTCTGGGAGGAAATCGAAGAACTCAGAGGAAACCCATGCGGAACAAATCAAGAACATAAAAACTCCACACAGAATGGCACCCGAGTTGGGAATCAAACCCAGACATTTCTTGTTTTAAGGCACAATCATCACTGTGCCACCCTGCTTTCCATGCAAGCATAATGGTTTGAAAACCGTTAATGAAGTAATGCATGAAATGTGCTTAAATGTGCAGTAGATACAGCGTCGGCAGGGGCCACCCCTACGGACTCACTTTGTGAGCCTGCCTATGGTCTGCACGTGTGCGTCACTGTGCGTGTGTGCCAAGACCGCCTTGTACTGGGCACACTTCACACACAGCCCCCCGGGGACTCCGCCTCCAGGTCCCTCCTGCTGCCGCAGCTTGAGCCGAAACTCTTCACACTTGCGCTGGGACTCCGACAGATCCATCCTGTCCATCAATTGCACAGTTAACGCACGGTCACTCGTGCGTCACAAGGTTTTTCAAATGTATCTATTGGGCAGTGTCCAGAAAAACAATTGCAAAAAAATGCTACGCAGAGGCTTTCCAGATTTTTTTCCACAAAAACAGTGAAATACGAGTAGAATGCAAACCAAACCCATATTTAAATCTTGCAGTGTCAACAAATTGCTAAACACTGTATTTTAGAAAGTGACATTTATGTGAAAAATAATTCACATTATAAGCATCAAATTAGTAAATGTGAGAGTAGGCTTTTTGGCAGATTAATGAATTTTGTGACATCTCATTTATTTTTTGCCCATGAATTTTTGCTGAATTGTTAAGATGTATAATTTGTTTTGACAGGTTGTATTGACAGGACATAAATGATTGTTACAGCAGCTAAATTAATCTTCTGTTTTATCTGAAAAAATGTAAATACACAGTAGATCATTGATTATCTGGCACGCGATTATCCAGCTTCCAACATTATCCAGCAGTCCCGGGCCGATCCTCCAAAACCGGCATGTAATCCTGCGATCGCCGGAAAACCGCTCCAAAGGCTGTACCAGTCCGGCGATTGGCACCATGTGCGTGACAGAAAAAAGTAGCTATACTTGATTTCAGTGTCAAATATTATGTACCTGTACATTATACACTACATACAACTTAAACAATGAAAAAACTCCACTATATATGTTTCATGATGAATAACTAATAAAAACAGAAAATATACAGGACAATCCGGTAGTGCATATAATTAGGCGTTCGCTGGAGCACAAGTCTAAAGGCTGCATCAGTCTGGTTGGTGATCGTCAAACACATGGTTGAAAGAAACAGTGTGTTTGATTGCGTTAGCGAGCAATATACAGACCTCACATGCAGTAACTTTTTACAGAATATTTATTTTTGTTCATTTTAATACTTATTTATGCCAATTGCATATAGAAAACAAATTTAAACACCAAAAAATATACACACAACACCTAAAAACATGTTATTCAAGAATCTACAAAAATAAGCCATTTTAAAAATGTTGTGATCTGGCGTTTTTTTTTATTTGGCGCCGCCTTCCCCCCTAAGCCGCCAAATAATCGATGATCAACTGTACTCGGAAAGTACGAGAATGATCTTTTAAATTAATTTATACAAATGCTTCATAGCGGAAATCCAGAATTTGAACATAAGTAGTCAAATGTTATTTTAAGCAACTAACCGTAATGAATTCATCTGAGCCTCCATGGTCTGGGTTCTGGCTTCGTGTAAAGCTTTTAGCCGTTCCTTAGTAAGACAGGGAAATACACATTACTTCATTATTGTAAAAGCAATAATTTTTTTGTGGACAACTTAATACATTTAACACGACCGCACCATGTTCTATTTGATGTAGCTGTTTTTTTTAAAATACAACCATGACTCTAACAATACGAGGCATTTAGCACAATTGAGATGTTACAGGATGTCTTTTTAAGCAGCTCTTTGTGAATATTTTTTTTTACCAACGAATAACAGAAAAAAACGCTTAGAATAACTATTTATTTCACACACGTGAAAAAAGAAATGTGGCAAAATTACTCCTGCCAATTCATACCAGCTCTAACTTCCATTGTTCCTGCTGAATCGCGGTGGCCACGGAAGAAGCGGCAGTGTGGGAGGGGCTTTGCTTTGTGTTTGATGTTTTCTCTTCTGCCACACGCTTGGGAAGCTCGTTGGATTGGGAACGCGGTAACTGTACTGCATCCTATATACATGGGGGAATGCAACAGGGCATACATTTGTAATCCTATTTCAGTAATGTACCTACAATAGACATTAATTCAAGATTCTGGACAGTTTGCACACACCTGTGTAATATATAATAGAACAGTATATGAACGTAGAAAAAATGAAATTGTATAAGCAGTTACCAGCACGTAATTTTCTGCATGATCCGATAGACTTTCTTGCACAGATTCCCGCTTCAGTTCATCGCGAAGATTTTCATTTTCCAGCACAACGACCTTCACTCGCTGCTTAATCCCCAACAGCTCCTCCTGTAACGTCATTAGTCACATCACTTGTGTAAGCTTTCACAAATGCACTCTTCCTCAAGCAAGCATCGCTGCACAGCTGAGTTAATCTCCATAATTATTGGTTGTGATGCATTTGATGTGAGAATAACGCCTGTGGTGTAGCTTGAGGATTTTGAACTTACTTTGCAGAATTGCACCTGAGCCTCCAGGTGCTGTACATACTCTGCCTGCCGGTGAATGAATGGCACAAGCTCATCCACCGTTGGCACGCTTACGTCCGATTCTCGGAATCCAGATCCATGGTCCTTTGTGCAAAGTTACAAGGAACGGATTTCAATAGAATTATAATTGATAAGTCAAAACACAAAGTTCTCTATACGATCCTTACAAATCTGTGTCAGATGAGCAAGCATCATTTAAATTGGGTACTGAGGTTTCCAGTCAGGGAAACATACATTAAATATTACGCACACAAACGTACATTTCCACATTCATTATTTCCCTACATTTAACAACTTTATTGGTATCTTACCCTTTGGGGTGATGAACCAGGTGAGGAGGAAAATGGCAATTCTTGGTTTTCATGCTTGCGTAGCAGGGTTCGCAGCTGAGTGACTGTGCATATGAGGCGTAAAATGGTTCATTGCTCTAAATTAATCAGTGCATTGGTGTTATATTTAAAGTCCACACTGGACACACCCAAATCACATGTGTTGTCATGCATGTTATCACACGGCTGTGTTGTGTACAAACACGCAGAAACTCCACGTCGTTTAAAACACAACCCTGCGCATTCACAGCACACTGCTCTTCAACAGATGTGGAAGTTGGTACGAGTTCCTACCAGCATCGCTATGCCTCAGCTCTTGCCACTGGACTTTTGGAGTTGCCGTGAGGGGGGCCCACTCATCCTCAGTGTGGGATGTGTCCAGTGGGTCCTCGGCTCGCTCCTCCAACGTGCTGCCTTGTAGATCCAGGCTGAAGGTGGCCCTCTCTGGTTAATTCACATGACATCATTGTTAATCGTTACACAGTGACAACACAATTTACACAATTTATATATTTTGATTTAAAGCTTTCGTGACTGCAGTAATTCATATTCTTAGTTTTTTCGGTAAAGTCACGTAGAAGGGAAACAATAAAATAATACAAATATTAATATTATTATATTAATAATACAAATATTATTTTGTTTCCCTTCTACGTGACTTTACCGAAATAAACCAAGAATATGAATCCTTGCAGTCACGAAAGCTTTAAATCAAAAGACAACACAATTTGTTAATATGCTAGGCTGAATGCCAGACTAACTTTTTTTTATTTACACGCAAAATTTGGTTTCATGTATTTTTTTAAATCTCAGATCTCTCCTAAAAAGATCATTCTAGTCTCAACTGGCTCATTTTGTGTTGTCCTTCCCCCGCAGCTAAGGGGCACAATCTACAGGAAACGATTCAAACGCGCAGCTTAATTATATTTGGTGACTAAAAAAATATTTCGGGGTCATCAAACTCTAGGATGCTAAGCGTGTTTTTGTTGCCATCTGCACTACAGTACACGATTCTAAACGTAGGCAAGGTTGATCTCGCCCAAGCGTGGACTGAGCACGGAAGGAAACGCGTTGTTTTGTTTTACTTTCTCAGTTCATTCAATGGGACAATGTAATATTCGCCCCTGCTCGTTTGGGGTCCCATCTGTGGTCGCTGCTTTGGCGGCCCCGTGTGGTTACAATGGGGGGCTGCAAGCACTTGGTCTGGACATCTGTGGAAAAGAGCTTCATAGCTTATCGGATTTTGATTCTGACTCGGCTGATTCTAACACAGCCGAGTGGCGATCCTAGTGACCAATTCGGACCTCCGAACCGGTCCCCAAACCACCATCCCTCCAAGGCGGTCATGGCGATCGCGGTCCCGCCTGTTGCTGTGGTTTCAGCCCTTGGTCAGAGTTTCAAGACTCCAGGTACCGAGGACTGCAGATGCGAGGTGCCGTCCAGCACTATACTCGCCGGCCTTTAAAACGAGCCGTGATTAAGATTTATTTATAAGACCACGGGATCGAATGGCGATGGCGACCCCCGTACCACCAGCCAGGGGATAACAAGACGGGATTTTGGGGATGAGAGAGCACCCCGAAGCGAACCTCGGGTTTCTCGGAACAAAAAAAAACCCCGTGCTCGTGGCTCGATACCCGGTGGAATAGGCACCGCCTACACGCTCGACAGCTACGTCCGTGGTAGAGAGAGGATTCCCAAACGAGGGTCGCCTCCTGCTGAGAATTCTCCGGACTAAAGCAAGAAACACAAAAGGGATCCGTTCTGAGCACTGAAGGGTTCCCTTTGCCGTGGCTAAGGAGCCCGAGCGCGTGAATAAAAGTGGACCCCGGGGTGGGGGGAGGGGATGATGCTCGAGACTGAAGAGACCGCGACCTCGTGGCTCCTGGTGGGTGCCGACGCTCCGGACTCTACCTCTCAGGCTAGCGCGGTACACGGCCAGGGCCTCCTCGTCACCTCGGCGGAGTCGCGTGGTCATCGGCGACGCTCGTGAGCGGGCCGATGCAACCTTAGTCGTCGTCGTCACTGTCAGTTTGTGCTGATGATTACAGCTGCGGCGATGTTAACATTTTTGGTTGATGGGGACTCGGAAATTTGCGACGGGGCGACGCTGCCGCTGCCAGAATCCGCTGCCCGCCCGAACGAGTGGGGGGGGGGGGCTCGCGTGGGCCACGTGACCGCCGCCGCAGCCAATGGGTGCGCGAGAGGGCGCTTGTGCGCGACGTCACCGCGTTGCCCTCGGCAACCGCCTCGGCCTAAACCTAGGCGCAGTGTTTATTTTAATACATTATTGCTTACAGATTCTTGGTTCTTTCGGTAAAGTCACGTAGAAGGGAAACAATAAAATAATAAAAATATAAAGCAATAAAACTCTCACGACTTTTCGACTGCAACACAAGCAATCATCATCAGGTGTGAAACCCACAACAAGAGAATTTGAAAAAATTATTGCTTACAGCACAAACATCGGCCTAGTGTTTATTTTATTACTAACGGAACGTTTATAAGCGTAGTGGTTATTTTAATACTTACAGTATATTTATAAGCTTAGTGTTTATTTTGATATAATATATTTATAAGCGTCGTGTTTATTTTATTACAATATATTTCTAAGCGTTGTTTATTGTAATACTCAAGTACATTTATAAGCGTAGTGTTTATTTTTCTCCTACAGTACATTTTTAAGCGGTGTTTATTTTATTACTACAGTATATTTATAAGCCGTTTATTTTAGTATCGTCCAGTACATTTGTAAGCGTAGTGTTTATTTCAATACATTATTGCTACAGCACATAAGCGTAGTTTATTTTAATACATTACTACAGCACATGTATAAGCGTAGTGCTTATTTTAATCCTATAGTATATTTCTAAGCGTAGTGTTTATTTTAATACAGCACATGTATAAACGTAGTGTTTATTTTAACCGAAAGTACATTTATAAGCGTAGTGTTTATTTTAAGACTATAGTAAATTTATACTGGTAGGAACCTCCTGGTTAAACCAGCAGCCCACAGGGGATTATTGTGTCCGTCCGTCCGTCGTGCATCCAAAAATGGGAGGGGCTGGGTGGAGAGGGGAGGGTGGGGAGGGGTGGGGCTGGGTGGTGAGGGTGGGGCTGGGTGGAGAGGTGAGGGTGGGGAGGGTGGGGCTGGGTGGTGAGGGGAGGGTGGGGAGGGGTGGGGCTGGGTGGTGAGAGTGGGGAGGGGAGGGTGGGGTGAGGAGGGGTGGGGCTGGGTGGGGCTGGGTAGGGGGTGGGGCTGGGTGGAGGGGGGCTGGTCACCCCGTGGTGCCCTTATAAAACTCAACGTTTAACCTACTCACGCCGGCTTGTGCCTGCCCTCACAGTCGGGCATATTTGCGGAATACACCACGTGGTGGTGCCGTTGACCCTGGCCATTAACAAAGCAACCCAACGTTCCTACCAGCTCCCTCCGCAGGAATGTGTTATGCGTGCATAACTTAACAGGACTCGGAGCATAGATATATATTTAACAAGTGGGAACGGGAAAGACAATATAAGTAGCGGGTAATAATCGCGTTAGACGTGCTCTACGTCAGTTACGTGCCCTACCTTATTACAGACCAATTCACACCTTATTGGTCACCCCGTGCCCCTTATACATCTCAACGTTCATCCTACAAATTCCCATCAAATGGGAGAAACACAAATAGACATAACGTGTTTTTGTTGCCCATATTGAAACGGTTGTACGCCGTATGGACCTGAAAACTCAATTTCAATGTACAAGAATACGGGGTAAAACCGTATGGGTTGACAGCTACGTCGTGTGAAGTCCTCTCTGTTGCTCCACTGCTGGACGAGGACCCTCTTCTCCACGCCGTGGGCACGATTCTGTGACCATACTTCACCACGCTGGTCGTTGCGGGGGCCGTAGACGTGGACGCAGACACGGAGCGATTTCGTTGCACTGCCCTCTGCTGACAGCATAACTATGACAAGTAATTATTTATATTTGAGTGACCTGCATACCTTTTTCTCTATTTTTGCACTCGTACCGGTTTTTTGTTGTATTGTTTGCTGGAACATCTTTGGAAAAAGAGCTTCATAGCTATAACCGGATTCCTGCGGTCAAAATAAAGATTCTGATATTCCTTCAGGAGCCTGTACTTATTCGCATCCACTTTGTTGTTGCTCTGCTCACACACTTCGGATCTTTGTCGTAAAATAGTCAAGTTGCTAAACGGGATCATGCGTGTAACAACACGTGTAATCATAGTTTAATACACGTAAAAAAAACACAAGCATAGCCATACCTGTCAACCCCTTATCAGTGCCTACCTTATTAGACTAATTCAGACCTTATTGGCCATCCCGTGCCCTTATAAATATCAACGTTCATCCTACAAAGTCCCATCACAGGGAGAAACACGCAGACCATTTTTTGCCCGTAGTTAAACGACTACACGCCATATGGACCCGAAAACTCAATTTCCCTGCACAAGAATGCGGGTAACCCGCATGGGTTGACAGGTATGCATTGTGCCTGTATTCCCAAACATTCCAGAGCGTTTAACACACTTCGTTATAAAACATGGTAACCTGGACACGCCTAACATGAGCGGCGAGTGAGATATGAACCAGTGCTGAATCCAACTCCACGCCATTCAATCCTCACCAAGAATCAGGATCATTTATCCATGAGTTTTTTTTTTAGGTTAGATCGCATAAATATAAATGTGTAGTTAAACCCACCACAACCAATTAGCAAGGTTTGTCACGAAAACAAAACATGCAAATTCCTTTCGAGTACAACACACCGGTGTGTTGGAAAGTAAATCCACAACATTTACAATTCGCCGGTAATTACAACTAGCATCATCAGGCAACAGCCAGAGTTGTAGAGAAATCCTCCTGTTTTGTTCTTCGAGGGAAAAATGTGATGTCACTTTTGAGCCAATCAGGTGCAAAGGCCAGAGGGGGTTAATGAATACATACATTACAATGGATATCCATTGGGTTATTCATATCGTAATCAACATATATTAAGCATGCACATTGTGCTGGAACATCCTGCTGTTTTTTGTGTGAATCATTTAACCAGAAATTGGTGAAGTATGTTCCAACCCCCCATGCCTGATATGGCATGGGGGCATATTTAAGATATTTTGGTGAATTTAATGCGATTTTCTCCCATTAAGACCTTGAATAATATTTTCCATGTATATGCACATTTTAACGCACCTATTAAGTTTACTGTCCTTCAGGACATCTGTGAAAAAAAGCTTAATAGTTCATCAGATTCCTCCAGTCTAAAGAAAAATTCGGATTCAGAATTACAAGAATTTGTACCTTATTTATAAACTGCAAATCTACATTATTTTTGGAATAAGAGGATCGAGTAAGTTCTGGGAAAAAAAGTTGTTCTTTTGTTTAAATTAAGACATGATGTAATGAAATTGTATATACAGACAGGTGAACAATTAGTCTGATGTACATTTATTCAAAGATAAAAAAGCAAAAACTTACATTTCAACAATATTCATTTATCATTTAACCTACAAAGATACATTTTCAAATAATATTTTTTCTGTTGATGCAAACTATCAAAGTATTATTTCTATTTTATGCCAGTGTGTTATGATTGAAAAAAATGTTGACACTGTCGAATCTGTAGCCATCCCAGCATCTTCGATGTGCAGCAATTTAGCTGACAAGACCTAAACAACAAACATACATAAGTTTAAAGTGTGCTTTTGTATGACAATTCATCATGACACTTAATTTATGTATATATTTGTCTTATACACCTTATTATGCAATAATCGTAAGTGTTATTTTTCAATGTGGTTATACACTTACCCAAATAATCGTCCATAAGGGAGCCGATGGCAAACTGAATAAACAAAGGATAAAGTCAGACCATACATTGTACACGAAACATTGAACATTAAATTAACGTATCATTGTTAAAGATATGGATTTATTCACATTTGAAAATACTGAGTGCATTAAGTTGTGTGTGCATTAAGTATTGAACACTTACAATGTCGTTTTTGTCAACTCTTGTTCCCACGATCTTTAACCTGATTTCATCATCTTGCTGGATTACAACGTCCTGTTTAAAATAAAACGTTAATTACCGCAAGTTTCAACTCTGATTTGTCGTAGTTTTGCAAACTGTTAAATGTGCGATTTCAGCTGCACAATACCTCATCAGTAGTTTTGTAACACGGTGGGTTGGAGTTTGGATCAAACTCCATCTCCGATGGAATAGACTGTTAAAACAAAGAGTAGAAACATTAACAAAGACTTGCAAAACAACTTCAAAATCCTTCAGAACAATCGAATCCATATGCGAGTATATTATTAGATAGGTAATATATCAGCTGTAGCTGTGCATCATGTTACAACCAATGCTTACATGTCTGGAGATGAAGCAAGACATTGGGCCGACCTCCGTAAACAGGCCAACCTGGGGGTGGGGGGCAAGCGACGATAGTTTAATAGTTAAATTCTATACTGGTCATCTTGTACACCTCATTACAGTCACGCTAAATAATTGATATCAGATCCCTGGACATAATCCCCAAATTCATGAAAACATGCCGATAACACATTCCTGCGGAGGGAGCTGGTAGGAACGTTGGGTTGCTCGGTCAATGGCCAGGGTTAACGGCACCACGTGGTGTATTCCGCAAATATGCCCGACTGTGAGGGCGGGCACAAGCCGGCGTGAGTAGGTTTAACGTTGAGTTTTATAAGGGCACCACGGGGTGACCAGCCCCTCCCCACCCAGCCCCACCCCTCCCTCCCACCCCCACCCTCCCTCCCACCCCCACCCTCCCCACCCAACCCCTCCCCACTCCACCCAGCCCCACTCCTCCCATTTTTGGATGCACGACGGACGGACACAATACTCCCCTGTGGGCTGGTGGTGTAACCAGGAGGTTCCTACCAGTATTATAGTTGAACAATGAGGAGTGTAGCACAACCCAACCTGTGAAATACCTTGTTGACTTGAGTGACAACGGCATCGACCACCTCGCCTTTGAACGGGCGGAAGACGATGGCGCGGTATTTAACTGGGTAGAGGACAAAGCCCCTTCCCGGCTGGATCATGCCGGCGCCAATATTGTCAATAGTGGTCACCGCAATGACGAAGCCATATCTGCAGCGACACAGCATTACACGTCAGACGGTGCTCACAGAGCTAATGAGACAACATCACGCCAATTAATAACATTAATTTAACTGACTAAGAGAGTGCAAGGTTGTTAACTGAAGCAACGTAATAGCCTTTGGATGAGTATTTTAAATATGGCCAAATTGTGTTCGGTCGAATAACCCCCACAAGCCGCCCGTAGTGGGGGGGGGAGGCCCTTTATCCGATAGTGGATTTCTGAAATGGCTGTTGAAAGTCGAGCATTTTAGCACAGGATCGTGCAAACAACCGGATCGTGCAAACAACCGGATCGTGCAAACAACCGGATCGTGCAAACAACCGGATCGTGCAAACAACCGGATCGTGCAAACAACCGGATCGTGCAAACAACCGGATCGTGCAAACAACCGGATCGTGCAAACAACCGGATCGTGCAAACAACCGGATCGTGCAAACAACCGGATCGTGCAAACAACCGGATCGTGCAAACAACCGGATCGTGCAAACAACCGGATCGTGCAAACAACCGGATCGTGCAAACAACCGGATCGTGCAAACAACCGGATCGTGCAAACAACCGGATCGTGCAAACAACCGGATCGTGCAAACAACCGGATCGTGCAAACAACCGGATCGTGCAAACAACCGGATCGTGCAAACAACCGGATCGTGCAAACAACCGGATCGTGCAAACAACCGGATCGTGCAAACAACCGGATCGTGCAAACAACCGGATCGTGCAAACAACCGGATCGTGCAAACAACCGGATCGTGCAAACAACCGGATCGTGGCCCAGTCCTAAAATGAGGACCCGCTTACTTTCCAGAGCAGGTTCCCTCCACCTCCGTGAAGAGCTTCTGCTTCACAGTGTTCAGTAGGTTGGGTCCGAAGTATCGAGGATG